GCTTTTCTGAAACCCAGGGTCCTCCCCCTCGGCTTGCAATTGCTCTGCAGCTCGTGCTGACAGCCGCCGTCTACGGCCTAGCGCTAACAGAGGTACGGTCTCTACCACAGGGAGAGCCTCGCCAAGCTTGCCCAACGCTGTTGGGTAAGCCCAAGGAGTCCTGCCAAGGTAAGGTACATATGCATACAGGTGTCTATCTGTTGTGTCTACATAAATACACAGAGATACAGGCCACAACGGGTTCCAGCAGGTCAAACACTGCTGTCGGCAGCAAGAGCAAGAGGCACAACGTCATCAAAAAGAGAATTTCCAAGGGAAAAACAATTTAGCATTTCCCAAACACAAGAAAGTGCAGTATAAACGAAGTTTGCTGGTCTGGGTGAGCACGACCGCCTGGCTAGCTTGGCCTGTCCGGTCCTCAGTCTGCTGCACTGGCTCCCCGGGGCCCAACTGCTCTGAGCACAAAAGGACTCTCGTGGCAGACAGCTGCCGAAAGACCCCCTAGAACAAAAGACAGGCCAGGGGAAGGGCCGAGGGCCTGAGAGGGGCTGGAGACAGGCATGGGGGAGGGGTGCGGGGCACAGAGCATCCCAGGAGGCAGATGCAGAGATTGCAGGCGGCTGGGGAGGGACCAGGAGGAGCAGCATTCCCAGGCCTCTGGGACCAAGGAAAGAGGGATGCGGGCCAGTCCTTGGGGCCATGTGCAAACATTATTGGCAAAACCGCGGTGAAGGAAGGAGGTGGGAGAAGGCAGGGGGGACAGGCTCGTGGGGGTGAGGGGTGACTCCTGCACACCCACCACAAGGACCCTGCACGGGGCGTGAGAGACGGAGCAAGTCTTGGCTGCAGAACAGACTCAAGGAGGTGGGAGCGGGAATGAGGGGAGATGGACTGGGATGGGGAGGGTGAGGCAGAGGCTCTGGAGAAGACTCGGAAGGTGAGGAGGCAGGAGGGAGTCTTCTGGGACGCCCGCCGACCAGTCCTGCTCTCGGCCTGGCCCCGCCCTCGCTCGCCCAGTGCTGGGGACTCAGGGGCAAGCGGGTGTCTGAGCCCCACTCAATGCCGCCCAAGGGTCAAGCCCAAAGCGCTCTCCCTGCCAGCTCTTCCTGCCTGAACCCGCCCAGGCAGCTCGGCCTGCCCCCGGCCCGGGGCGAGGGCCTTGGGGGGCCGACCAAGGGATCTAAGAGCAGCCTCAGTGTCCCCGCGTCCTGAGGTGTCACAAGATCGGAGGCAGGTGGTGGAACGCAACATGGGTGCTGAGCGGCATGTTAAAAAGTGAACGTTTTCTCCAAGTGCAGGAGTGTCTGAAGCCACAGGGCTCGCGGTCCTTATAGCACAAGAGGCGGTGAGTCGTGGGGAAGGAGCCCCGGGGCGGGGCCTCTAGGGATGCGTCTGTCTGTCAGAGGCGACATCACCACTGAGGAAGCGGAACAGAAACACTGAAACTTCGTTTACACCCCACTGGAGCAAAGCCCGTTCCCTCCTCTGACTGCGGGACTGGCCTGTACCTGTGTGATATAATTTAGCACCTGGAGAAGAGAAATCTAAAGAGATATCATTAATCACAAACAATTCACAGAGAGAAAAGGAAAAACAACTTACTTAACGTTACTGTACTTTACTATGAAACACTTAAGTACGTCACTAAGCATGTACATCTACGTTAAAATTAAGACTAAGACTTAAACAGCTTAATCAACATGAAGTGAGGATATGTTACTTAATCATGGAGTAAGAGGAGATGAGGTTCAAATGGCAAACTATTCTCCAGCATGGCGGGCGCATGCTGCGGGCGGCGCCGGCTCAGCGCTCGGGGTGCCTCGACGGGGCGGGGGGCCGCTTGGAGCCCAGATGGCAGATCAGCTCACATGGCCGGTCCAAAAGCGGTTCATGAACCAAAACATACAGGCGGGGACAAGGAGCAGCAGCCGCGCACACACACAACC